AAATCATTTCAAGGCTCTCTAAAAATAGACCATTTCGAGAATTGGCATTTATTCAAATGCACATCAACACATTCCCCAGAAAGACTGTCATTCTTTTTGAAGCTTATTTTTATGCCATGTTTTTTTGCTTTGTTTTTGTTCTTTAAGTCCTGATTTAATTTTCAAACCTGGTGACTATCCACACCAATATTTGTGTATAAAATTTAAAGTACTGTGAAGCACCAAGTTCCAATTTTGTTCATTTGTTGTTTGGAAACCTTTTCAATCAATACTTATCTTACCATCAAGGAATTCTTTTTATCATAGATTTTGTCAGTGCTGTATCTCAAGTTAGGTTAGCATTTTATATAAAATTACAAACTATATAATTGTAGAGAAATCACAGTATCTCAGTTTGAGGAGAATTTCAAGGCCATTATGCTCACTGTCCTAGGTTGCGCTTTTCACCATTCCCACCCTTTGCCTGCACATCTCAGTTCCTTCTTCCTCCATCTGAGTTCTTTGCCTGTGCAGCTCTATTTGTTTGAATATCTAAACTTATCAAACTGAAACTAACCTCCTTATAATTTCTACCCAAATGTCCTAATTCTGCCCTTTGCGATGCACAAAAGAAGGTAAGTTCCTCTTTTATATGACAGTTTGAAGATAATATTTGAAGATAAGTATTACATTTTCCACTGAAGTCCACTTACTTTTGTATTATTTTTGCATTCAATTTTTTCCACCAGCCACAGACTTTCCCAAGACTTTCACCTTCAGTTTTAGTTATACATTAAAAAGATAAGCTCCTTAATGTAGTGGTACCAGTGCAAAAGTTACAGGTACAAACTTAAACCATTTAGATGAAGTAATTAGAGCAATAAGTGACATTGCATTTAAAACTGTTATGTTAAAGCCTCCTATTCCAGATAGCAACACTAAAGAGGGAAAAGTACATTGCTCCTTGAGGCTGGAATTTTGAGCATAAGGCAAAAACAAAAATTTCATACATGGTGAACCCATAAATAAAATGCTGTCTTCATTTTCCCTTAAGTATATTTCTTAAGTGCATGCCTACTCTGTACCAAAATATGTACTCAGCTTTTTGGGGCCCTTATGGGGAAGAGAGATCACATCAATAAATATACAAATAAGTACAAATATCCTTATTATGGTAAGTTCTCTGTCTAATTAGAGTTCTGAATAGAAAAATAGTGTTGCCCATATGACAACTTATGAGGCAACATAACATATTGGTTAAGAGCACTGACTACTTGGATTTGAATTCTAGATCCACCTCTTACTAGTGTGTGATCTCATACAACTTACTTAACTTGGTATACCGCAGTTTTCTTATGTGTAAAATGGAGAGAGTAAGAGTACTTACCTCTTGGGTGGTTATATTATGTGAGTTAATGTAGATAACACTAAAAACAGTATTTATTTGCTACATAAATATGGTCTATTATTACCTACAATATAAATAGAAAGAGCTTTAACTTAAAAAATAAGTAGATAGTGGTTGAATAAATATTGAAAGAACTTTTCTCTGGGGAAAAAATCAAGCAGGATAGGACCTAAAGTATACAATAGTATAGTTGTAGAAAAAGAAAAAGAAACAGAGATGACATTCTAAATGTTGATTTTTACCTTAAATTTATTGGAGTGAAAAAAATCTTGAAATCGCCTTTCCAGCTCACCCTTACAAGCCTGCTCATTAAATGAACCGAGGCTGGCATACTAGAATACTTTAGTTTTGCAAAATATATGCTAAAACATTAACAACAAAATGTCATTAAATATTTTGCAAAGATAAAATGCTAAAAGTATATTTATCTAGAGATATAGTTGCATGAATGAAGATTTCAGGATATCCCTTTCTTCATTGTCTGAAATAAAGAATGTAAATCCATCTATCTATATTAGATCTCCATCTATAAAATGAACTTAATGTTGCTTTTCACAGAAAATGTAATAAGATGACAACAAATGGATTTATATCTATCAAATCCTCCGAGTTTCTTAGAATGATATCACTCTATTAGAAAGGCAGAATATTTGTGACTTCATGCTAACTGCCATAAAAGGAAACTGATAGGGAGTCAGAAAGTGGATTCAGATAACAAAATAAACTATTTGGAATGATTCTAATAATTTTACCAGTATTATTTCTTCATATTAGAACTTGTAAAGAACATGGCTGCTATTAAAGAATAGAGGACAAATGTCTAATGGAGGGAGTAACCATTTCAGATAATCATTAATCACAGACACACGGATGAGAATGTACAAGAAAAATCCAAGTTTCTTCAAAAGATGCTGAGAAGAAAGAAGCAGTCAAACTGTTGCAAGCATGGAGTTTGAAAATAAACTGTTGTCAGTTTCACTGACAGAGAGACCAAAAGTCAAAAGCAACAATGCGGAAGAAGCAGTTGATTGTACTGGAAGGACCAACTGATAGAAGAGGAAATAAATTACACTCCTCTGTGAGGATTGAGGATAGCATTATAGTGATGGATGTCATTGGGATAATTTAAGTGTTTTCCCCTCAGCTTTTTCACCACTTTCCATATATAGTGTAATATCCTTGCATGTAATAATCCTCAGGTTGAAACATTATGTAAAGAGAAAATAAGTCTGTTTCTATTAGGAGGTGATTTTGAATAGGGTTTTGAAAATTTTTTAAATAACTTTCAAATGTAGGCATTTGAACCAATGAGAAAATAACTGTTAGTTTTGATTAAATATAATGGAATCTTAACTACAATGTGCCTCTTGTTTGCTATGCTTCAAGACTACATTGGTAAGAGACCCCCATTATGACGAGGTCACTTTACTATAGCCCTATTGATGAGGTTCAAAAGAGACTCACATCATTCCATTTTCCCACTGTTGTTAAACAGGGTATTTAGAGGTTTGGTTAGTTATGTGATACTTTGATATGAGTTCTATTTGTGGGCTCCATTTACTTTCCTTTCTCATTCCCTCCTTTTTGCCATTTTCAAAACTTACTTGAGCTGTACCCTTACCCTTAAGATGGAGCTGCTCTATGAGGTGGATAGACAAATGACTATCACCATTAGTATAAGTAATATTTAGAGGAATGAGAGGACTGCTTCTATATAATATTGAAAACAGATCCTAGTGTAAATGCACCTTTTCTCATAGGTGTATTTTGGGCAACAGTAGCAACAGCGTTAACAAAAAAGCTGCAGTTTAACATTGCTCATACTTTAGTTATTACTCTTTGCCTTCTAAATATAAAATACCTTAGGACAGAGGTCAGTAAACTTATTCTTTAGAGGTCCAGATAGTAAATATTTTAGGCTTTGTGGGCTATATGGTCTCTGTCGTAGCTACTCAACTCTGCCAATTCTGTACCACAAAAGCCACCATAAGACAATATAAATGAATGGGCCTTCCTATGCCCTAATTAAACTTCATTTATGGACACAGAAATTTGATTTCATATAATTTTCACGTTATGAGATATTATTCTTCTTTTGATTTTTTTCCCCATCTTTTAAAAATGGAAAGATCACTCTTAGATTGCAGGCCAGGCCAAAAAACAGGCAGCACGTAGGATTTGTCCCCCTGGCTGAGTTTGCCTACCACTATTTTAGAACCTTCCTGTCCTCTGGTGTACTAGCATCTGCTCTGTTAATCAAAAGCTCATAGTTTATGGGCTTTCAGAAGAATGCTCTGAGAATTTAAGACAGAAAAAGGAGACGCCCCACAAGAAATTAACACTTCATAGACTCAAATATGTCCTGAGTGCCTGCTTATATATATATATGCCAAACACTGTTCAAGATATTGGGGATACAGTAATGAACAAAGAAGTCAAAAGTTCCTGCCTTTATGGAACTTACATTTTACTAGGGTGACACAAATATAAGCAAACAAGTAAAATGTGTAGTATTAGAGATAGTTCTAAGTGCTATGGATAAGTACTTATACTATAAGGTAGACAGGTAGTGCAGGCAGGAAAGAGGGTTTTAATTTTATATAAGGCATCAAGGAAAGCTTCACTAAGGTGGCGTTTGAGTGAAGACCTAAAGGAGGAGAGGGAGCAATCCATGGATTTGGTAGAACCTGTATGTCACCGTTAGTAAAATGGGGAGTTTTGACCAGAGACATGACATGATCTGACTTACATTTTAACCATTTAGGGAAACCATTTAGGAGGCTATTGAAATAATCCAGGTGAAAAATGATAGTGACTTAGACCAATGGTAGAGGTGGAGGTAGTGGGAAATACATTACTGATATATTTTGAAGTTAGAGGCAATGGATGGAATCAGAGAAAGAGAGAAGTCAAGTATAAGACCTAGGATTTGGACTTGGGCAGTTGGAAGGATGGAGTTGCCGTTTACTGAAATGGAGAAGGACTATCAGGAGTTTTACTTTGGAAACTTGAACTGCGTTTAGATATCCAAGTGGAATGTTAAATTGGCAGTTACATATATGCATCTGGAGTTCAGAGAAGTCTGGGCTAGAGATAGTATTTTTTAGAGTCATCAACATCTTAATGGAATTCCATGACAATTGATGAGATCACCAAAGCATTTACTAGGATGACTATTTATTTATTGGTATTACTGCCCCTGCCTCCTTTCTCACCTGCTTTCAAAGAGGTAGGTAGTTTCTAGTAACTATTCCCTCTGCTCACTCACAAAGGGTGGAAGGGGTCCCACTGAATCAGAAACCTGACCTACACGGGAAGTACCATTAGTTGGCCATCCTCAAATTTTGCCATGGTGTAAACATGGGAGTGAATTTTCCCAAGTACCTCCTTGCTGGAAACTGTTTGCACTGGAGGTAAGTGTGAAAGGGGAGGTTGTGGGAAATGATGGGGTAAGGGCTTCCTAAACCTTTCCCCAACTTCAGAAATGGCTTGATTCTGAGGAAGGGAGAAGGTTCAGGCTGGTTCTTATTTCCCTGAACCAGCCCTAAATTTGACCTGCTTTCCTCAAACTGGGAGTCAGACATCCCTTTTCTCTTCTGTTTTTCTGCTGCAGAAATTCCCAACATTCCCATTTTGTGGGCTCCAGAAAGGGGTAAGCGAAGACTTCAATCCCAGCCAATCATTTTCAGATTAATAATTTTTAGTGTTTTGGTTTCTTTTATCATCATAAAAAATGCTTGGACCCATATTTCCCATCTGTTTAATTTCCTTGTGGATTGTTATGTATCTGTTCTAGGGTCAGTCTGTATCCCTGGGCAGTAGAATTCAGATCCATTTGCTATTTCCATTTGTGTGCTGTTCTCTTGTGGATTTTCATATGCAGTTTATCAATGACTGTTTCCTAGATGGAAGACACCCAATTCAGGGGACTGCTTCACTCTCAATCTCATCTTTTCCTGAATGGTGTTTTGTTCCCCTGCTGATAGCTTTTCACTGTGCTACCCAACTGCTTCTGAGGATCTGTCGTTGCTTCTTTGCTGTTCTGTCTTCCTGCTTTGACTGCCTTTGATTTTTGTCTCTATTTTTTTACCCTATTTTACTCATCTGCCGAATGATTTGCATTCTTCATTCTTTGGTGCTTTGTCCATCAGCAAATGCCCTGGTACTGCCATATCCTTCAGCTATTTTAGCATTTTAGACTGCCCAGCGTTGTCTATCTCCTCTCCTACCATTCTCCTGTTCCATGGCCTTTCAAGTGCTATGCCATCTGCCTGCCTGATCTGGCTCTGCCCAATCTCTGCCTGTAAGATTATAAGTAGGTTCAGATTGTTTAGCACTTCTGCTACCTATCTCCACTTGCCTTGTGCCACCAAGTTGGACTGCTGAATGAGTTTGCTTCACTAATGTCTCCTCTACCTATTTGCTGCACATGGCTGCCCCATTAATTAACTTAAGACACTGCATTCATCTCCTGTGTACTCAGCCTTGTAACTTACTGATTGGCCCACATTGTCTCCTTTATACTTCTCTGCATCTGATAAATTGGTGGCCTTGTTCCTCTGTTGTCTTGTAACCCTGATCAGATTTTATTTGCAAGAAAACTATCAACCTATGTATTGTCCAAACACCTCTTAAATAGGAAAATGCCTTGCTATCTCACAGTCCAGTCCAGTTTACTCCTAAACTGACTTTTAAACTCACTGCTACGCATCCGTTCTGCTTTTTTGTAGAACTCCACATTCTTCCTTTATTTAGGAATGGATTTTTTTCAAAATCATTTATCATCTCTGCTTCGGTTGCTTTTTCACATCATATATTATGTACTTCTATTCCTTCTGTATGGGATATTTCAATAATTTTCCATATACTAAATTTATTTCTTAATTTATTTTCCCTGATGTTTCAAGGGCTTCATGAGGACGAGTTACTCCTATTGATTTTATCTTTTTTAGTAAAACTAGAAGAATTTTTTGAAACTTAAAAGCATCATCTCTAAAACTAATAAATTTAGTTATCTTATAATTCTTTATAGTTAAGATTAAAGTGGCTTTCTACTCTGCTCTAGTTTTTCCTTTGAGAGTATCATTTCTCAGCTGCCCCATAATTTATGTAATTATCAGTTCTTTAGAGATCCTTTTGATAAATTTCTCTCTCCCTCCTTATAGACTGTCTTTTCTTATGTTTGGATAAACTTTTAAAATTGACATTTTTCCATTATTTGCTAAGTACTTGGCATCTAAAAAGAACTTGGAATACAAAGTTATTTGAAAGGCAAGGTTCAAATGAAGATAATGGGACTGAGATGAGGCAACCAGGTTGTGTTTAGAAGAGCCAGCAATAGGAATAGGAATGCCTTTCAATTCAGTGATCCTCAATCCTGGATACCTATAGAGATTTTTCTAAAAAGATTCCTGGCCCCAGTCCCCAGAGATTCTGATTCAGTAGGTTAGGATCTGGTTTAGGTAGGCAATGTGTGTATGCATGTGTATGTTTTAATCCACTAGTAAAACACAGTGTGAGTTAAATTGAACTCTGTATCACAGTGTCCTAGACCTTATAAGAATTACAAAAGTTGGAAAGAATTGATCCTTGTCTTCTAGGAATTTAAAACTGGAATAGATAATTATGCAATAATAATGGATTTAAGAAAGAAGACTTTCAAAACATTAGGTAATAATGTTTTCACTTGTTAACTCACAATGTTTGGGTGATTTTATATACTGTATCTAGCTTTTCTCAGCCAAGGTTCCTCATCTAACCTGTCGAATACAGAAAATGATTTGAGTGACTGTCTTATCAATTCTCCCAAGGATGGTACATAAACTACTACTATGCTATATGCGCAGGAGAGAAGTTAATTCATTACATTCAATAATTCTCTCAGAACCTATTAAAAAAGGCTTGCTTCTGTGCGTGTAGTCTGTTAGGCGTATGTGACACAAAGATAAGACCTTGTTCTCCAGGAGGTTGTATCCCAAGGAAGGGAAGAAGACATTTAACAAAAAATGCATTTCTAATATGATTCACAAAATTTTATTTTCTTCTAATTCTTCAGGGAAAATGTTCAAAATCAAAGTCAGAGTGATTGTATAGTATAAGGAAATGCTTTCACCTCTTCTAAGCATCATTGATTCAGGAATAAGACTATCTTCTATATTCATGCCTCATCACAGTTGAAGGATTCTGGTAGTAGTGTAAAAGTCAAAAAGAATTTCTTTAATTTTAACACCTAGAGCATTCAGTGACAGATTAGTGATCTCATTTGTAGCATTACCTAAAACCAAAGTTACTAGTTTTATAGTGGAAGAATAGAGAATAGCTAGAGGTAAATAGATAACAAATGTTCAGGAGGTTGGTTCTTGAGTGTAATTGCAAGCACAATGAAGGCTTTTCCCCCCGAGTACAGCTATATACTAATATTGGAAATGTTTGGGAATTTAATTTATTCTCACTATCAACTAAAGCTCACTTGAATTCCTGGGTGTCATAAGGTTCAGTCGTATTTATTAGTTTTTATTGTGGATTTGATTAGTCCTTTGAACTAGGAATTTATTTGTCCTCCCTATATTGATGTGTGCCTTCAAACTTGAGAGCAGTTAGCATCATTCCTATTGCTCACTACTTCATACTTATTCCTTTAAAGGAGTCTCTTTAAAGTACAGCACTTAAGACAAGTTTTAATAACCTGTTTTTCCTCCCTTCTCCTGATGTTCTGCTCAAGTTATTTAACAGCACAGCTATGGGAAGATCAAAGTTCTCATGTCAGGAAAGAAGCACTAAAATAGAAATTACATCCAGATTTAACTTGTCTTCTTAAGAATAATGAATAGTTTTAAAAAATTTACTTCACCTGTATTCATTCTGAAAACATTTTTAATGCAAAAAGATTATGCAGATATTTTAAAGTATAAGACCTGTGATAAAGGGAAATATAAGAGTAACACCATTTTATTAAACTTTTTTTATTAATAATAAATATACTTTTTCTTGTGATCTCTGAAATTGTATTTTTATTTTGAGGAAAACTAAATTGAAAATGCAGTTGTGTAACATGTTCTTTTTTGTGAAAATTAACCTGAAAAGGCAGTATTTCTATCACACCCTTATTAGGCTTCAAGTCCTTTTTATATTTAATAACAAGAAAATTCTCTAAGTTTCCTTGCATTCAGAGATTCTTTGTAGGCAACTACTCCAAACAAATAAGTTTTCTTCTAGTTTTTCTTTTTCTCTTTTCCCTTTCTCTCCTGAAGAATGGTAGAAACATATTCAGGACCTTGCAAAGGAAGATGTAGTTTCTTTACATGAACATTTTGTGGAGGTATTTTCACTTTGATTTTGAATATAGACAGTGACAATAGTAGGCGCTAATAGCCAATCTCTATATCCACTAATCTCCTTTCTCTCCTTTGCCCTCCTACCATCAAGTATTTCAGTGTTGCTGGTAAAAACTAACGCATTACCCCTGTGGCACAAGAGGTCCAGGGAGTGAGAGAGATCATTGAGGGACAGTTACCTCAGATATAGAAACTATTTGGTACAAAGTTCCTTTATGTATATTTAACAGTCTATCAAAATCAATACCTGAGAAGTTCACTAGTTAGATATTTGGATGTTTATAAAATACAAACCACTCCTAGACATTTTGTATTTATCTCTGAATGCTTTTCAGATTTCTAATAGTATTTAGTACTTATGAAGAAATAGAGATTATTTTCTATTCGTATCAGCAGCATAAAAACATCTCAGATGTTCAGGAATCAATTTTTTTTGGTTTGTTCTTAGCCATCTTACAGTAGTAGATGTGTATTTACTTTGCACTTAGAGGTAATAATCCTATTATAGAGATCTTAAGCAAATAGTCTGAAAGGAAATATCTCTTATATGTTAAATTATTTTCTCATTCTCAACTCAATGCCTTCTGGTCAAAATTAAGATTGCTCTTTTGAGGGGGGTAAAAGACAAAACCTTTTTAGATATCTTGCTTGTCATTATGGTTAGTTACTAAAAAATTAAACTTAAGACCATCTGCAGAAAGCTCCTATTTTATTAACAAGAAAATCTGTCTTCAAATTTCCATACTTCCTGGGTAGTGTTAGCATATTAAGATCATAGCATTTTGTGCTCAATAAGAACAGAAAATGGTGACCTTTTTATCGTGACATGGTATTAAAGATGAAGCAAAATGAAGTAAATAAAAACCACCACTAATCTTGACACATAATTATTAGCTAGGACTAATTGATTAATTTGTGCAATTGGGAACTTGTCATCTTCACTTAGATTTCTTAATAACATCATCCCAATTGTTACCATAGCTACTAAAATTTATTGTGCACTTATGTCTGCCAGGCATTATGATAAGCACTTTATATAATATCTTATTTAATCCTCACCACAAACATACACAACAGGTACCACTTTACAGTAGGAAAATTAGATTGAGAAAGATTAAATCATTAAGGAAGTTGGTCACAGAGCTAGTAGAAAGTAATAGAACTAGAATTTGAACTCGGTAGTCTTGACTCCAGAGTCTTGCTCTTAACCACTCTCCTTTGATATAAATTAAACTTCTTTCCATTTAGTAGCCATGCTGCATAAATAAAAAAGGATTTGTCAATTACTGCAGAGTATAAACAAGAAGAATTTGAACTA